CAGTATTGATGGAAAAGGTCAAAGATGATCCCAAACAGAACACATGCAACGTTTCATACGTAATGTAAAGAAAGCTTTTATTAACGTCCTTTACAAAGATGTTTTATTGAGGATGTACTAAATGCTAGCCAAGGTACTTACATCTATTGTTACTGTTCTGCTAAAATTAAAAATTCTGTCAATTAACTTGTTGACTATATGTTCCTTTAATGTATGTCAGCAATGCCATCTTTCATAAAGGCTAAAGAAATACTAACTTCTTTGTAAAAATCTATAAAACTTGAATTACAATTTGCCCGATAAATTTATAAATAAAAGCTAGAATGATATTCTATTTTGAAAATGTCAGGCTACATACTAAATATATGGAGTTACACATAGAAAAATAAATCTCAATGGGTTTCTGACCCTATTGAAATATATACAAAGAAAGTTACAAAAACTCATTTTTTTCCCCTTAGAGGTGGTATGAGAATAGAAACGAACACTGGACTCTGTATTCTATGACTTGGACTCTAGTCCACATTGTATCCTGATTGTCTTGTGATTATAAAGTTAAATCAAGTTACTTTTCTATGCTCGGCCTCAGTCTCCTCTTCTATGAAATGAAGGGACAGGTTTAGCTGCTGTTTTTAAATTTTGAAATGTGATGACTAGTGATTTTAGATACAGACATTAAGTGGTTGATTATATATTATTTCAGTTTTGTATGTGTTTAAAATTTAAATATTTTCCACATATCAATGTATGAATACCACAATGAAATAAAAGTCAAAATGGCGCCATAATTGGTTAATATGAATACATCTGTATGTGTTTGTGTGGGGGAAGGTGCAGAGAATGAGATACAGAGAAATTTTGATATGTACCATGTGCACACTTTTACATGTATGAAATATGTAATTTCTCAAAGACAGAGAGAGATCAAGAAAGAATGATGTGGCTAAATTTTCCCAAGTGATGATGTACTTAAATATCTTTCAGTTGACTTTGTGGTTTTATGTCGAAGTCACTAATTGACTTAATATAAGTTTGGAATAGGGTTCAAATTGTCATCCTTAGACTTCCATAAAAATGTGCATGTTCATCGCAGATCAAATCAGTGATGACGCTTTCCTTGTTTCATCCAGGGAGCCTTAGTAGATATCTCCTGACTAAAGACAGCGTTGCCTTCATCAGTTATTAGCTTCCTATCTATGACATCAAGCCAAAGGTAACAGAAATCTCAGTGTATGTAGGTAGCTGCATCATGCCTGTTGAAAGATGTCCTTGGTTATAGATAGGAGAACCACATTGTAGAAGGTATGCTTATGAATTAAAACTGGAAGCTGTGGTTAGCATCACTCTGCAGATGCATGTCCACTATAGCATAGTGTAAGATACATACACAAGTTGATACTTAGTTTTCTCAGTGTTTAGAACTCTCATAGATAATGGCAAGCCACTTCACCCATTTGTTTCCAAAATCGAAATAATTTTAAAAAATAATTTCTGCCATATTTTTTACTGTGTGTGATGAATCGTGAGCACAATTTGATCAATTAAAGAGAACATTACTCAGACTACATTCAGCAGTTCCTTGCGCAAGGAGAACTGTCATTGGAGTTCGTATAAATTTTTCTTTGAGTATTTCAGGATCAGCTACAATGGATTTTTAAACTAATGTTTACGGAAGCTGTATCCTCTATACTCTTGCCAAAAAATAAAGCACCTAACTTTCCATTTACTAAATACCATAAAATTTTTACTTGCCAGTGCATTATCTAACTAACAGCATGGACAAGATGAGCTCAGTAGGACTTACACATAATAAGCAAAGTGATAACTATACTTTCATATCTGTCTACTAATATTTCGGAATTATGTTAATTTCTAAAGAAAGCTGAAAAAATACTTAACACGGTGAAACACTGGAGATTTTACAATGAAATGCTTCTGCCTTTACTTTGCAAATTAAAAACACAGCTGTATTTCCAGGGCATAAAACTTTAATACCATCAAGACCAAGTTTATCAAGCAAAGGAAGAATGAAATGGAAAGGTGGACACTTAAGATCAATAACGTGGTCAATGGTCCACATTTTGCTCAACTAGACACAGTATTATAGACCAAGGGCTACAACTGCAAGGGTCTAACCTTGGAAAACCTGAGGTTACATCATCAGTTTTCCAAAATGTGTGACTTTTTGAAATAATTCCAGTAACTCTGCAACACACATCTCCTAGCTTCTGCCCAAGAGGAACTATAGAAGCTTCCCTTGAAACAAACCAAAAGTGGACAGAGGGGGCATTATTTACAATCTGTTATTTCTACTAAACTGTTTAATTCATTATGATATAACCAATAAGCAGACTTAGGAGCATCACTTCAAAATGTGTAATTCTCCTGAACATAAGAACACTAACAGACATCACTTTCACAATATCAAGTAAAGAGCTATGATAAAGCAACTTAGGAAAATTATAAATAAAATGAAGGCTTTACGTCAGATGAAATCTCAGGTCTTTAATAATCTTTGCCATAAGGAATTAAAAGACTGGGAGCCTCTAGATTCAGTATCCAAGGGAGAAAACAGAATAAAATTTTAAAAATGAACACAGGGTTTTCTTAAATGTCAGGTTTAATCAAAGAAAATATCTTTGGGCACTGTGTAAAAACTAAAGATAAAATCCCTTTTAAAATAAAGAGATACAAACAAAAATCAGAACAATGAAAAAAGATCCTGTTGATTATGTACAGAGCTCTAAACAGAATGCAAGCAACTTTGTAAATGGATCCCTGTCCCCTGGCAGCAATATTGAGATGAAGTGTATCAATTACTATTACTAATTACATTAAGGGGAACTATTCCATTCTCCTTTATTTCATTTCAGATCAGCTATTTATTGTGGTTAAAACTTTATACATCTGTTGAATGCCGAATGCACGCAAGTTTTCTGAAGTCACTCTCTGCAAACTGCATGGTTTATTCCAAAGGCTTTGTAGGGTTTGTGAACTTCTTTGCTCAGCTAATAGACTAACACCATTCATTAGTTTATTTATAAGCATATCACTTTGCCTTTTAAACAGGATGCCACAACAGTCTTGATATTGGCTGTTTTAAATATTCAAGAATATAGAGTTAACCCCATTTGATGAGCCAAACAAAGCTTAAGTGACAGCACAGAATGTATGAGGTGGTTACATTAAAAAAAAAATCTATAAATCTGCCAGGGATATGTCAACTCAAAAGTTTAAGATTCCACCATTTAGAATGCAAATGCCATTCAGCCACAAGACAAAAAGACCTATTAGGATGACAGCTGAATAGTAAATATTCTGCACAAAGATCTCTTCACAGGCTTTTGCATGACAAAGTACCATTTCCTAGGGAAATTTCTACAGATCTCAATTTATTTGTGTTTATATTGTAAGCAGTTTTACAAAAGTATTATTCTTTTAACTGTTATTGTCCTTGTTTTGTTTTGTTTTTAAAAAAAAAAACCACAAAAAACTGATAAAAGCACCAAAAACAAAACAAAAATCTGCTTCTAACTCCAGGTAAAGCAAGGACACAACAGATATAAACTTTCCACTTGTCAAATTTCACTTTAAAAGAAGTCAATAACTCAGGCTCACATGCGTCAAAAGACCTTTTTCCAAAGCCTACATGTAGTTCAATGTAGATCAAACTTGAGTTTTCTTGGATTGCTGTGCTTATTGGATATAAAAGAATATCAACTCTGATTTTCCTTATCTAAATAGCTACATTTTATGGGGCTATAAAATAACTTTTTCCTTTGCCTTAATTCTTCTCAGGTCACACATTCCACATGCAAAGCATATCTAATAGAAAAACTATTATTTGATAGTCTCTGACAGTCATAAATGTGTTTCTTGAGATGCTTCCTGAAGTTAAGAAATATGGGATTTGTTAGTAGATGTATTATCTACTAACAGCAGGTAGTAACAGTAACTAATGTTACTGTCCTCCTCTATGTACAGGCCACAGCATTAGACACAGCAGTTTCCAAAAGGTTTTATTTGCTGGGTGCCAACCTTTGGTGGGTGAAAGAAGTAAACTTTGTATTACGTATATCACAGAAGCAAAACTTTCAAAAATAAACTTTATGTTTAATAAAGTTAACCTGAACATGCCCTATTTTTACTGTTTCTATATTTCACTGAGAAAGAACTGTACCAAATATCCCACATAACCTTTACAGTCTCAGTGTAGCACAATGCATACCAAACTATGCTTGCACACAGTACACCAGACATGAATACTTTTGTTGCTTGGCTTGAACAAGTGGTCCATAAAATGTACTTTTGCTTATAAACTTTTAATGTCAAAACATGAAGAATGCAAATGCTGACTGTATAACCTCATAGCAGTCTTAACTGTTATAGATATCAAAGTATGAAAAATGTGGTTTTGCATGACATTTGCGTATCACTAAATATTTTTAAACCAGCATTTTTGTCAGTGTAGTCAATACTTCTGGATCTCAGACTTGGTACAACATTTGCATGACTCAGCATCTTCTTATCTGTAAAATTTTGCATAATGGGTAACGCAGCTAAAACTTTTATAGAGTGTCCAAGTTGCACAGGCATCAGTAGTAACTTTAGAAAATATCTCTGGATGCAATTTTCCACTTAGTAGCCACAAAAGGAAATAGTTCCAGGTTACAGATAACCATCCAAACAATATACACATTACTTATTCTGGAAACACCAAATGTAGGATGAATTGGGGCTGCCAGGTACAAAGAGAAGTACAAAATACTCCCCACTTTGAATATTTTCTCTAGTGACTTGCAAAATACAGTGGTGTACCTTGCATAGGTGACCTCTACCAAATGAATGGTGTATGAGTTAACATTAAATTCCTACTTTATTAAAATGTTAAATGACACTTTCTTTAAAAAAAAAAAAAGACCAAACTCTGCAGAAGATGCCCTGTCTCAGAATTCTTAGCCTTCTCTGGGACCTTTAAATATATGTGGGATGCATCTTACCTGTTTGCTGTACTTGTTATTGGTTTGACAGCTGTATTCAGAGCAGTGATCTGATCCAATTGAAATGTTGTCTCCTGCTCCCACAAATGTGTTGGCTGGTGGTAGGTCTTGTACGGCCTGGTGTTTTTTCCCTGCAGTTGGTGACTGGGGGTGAAGCTGGACAGTGGGCAATGGGGAACTAGATTTGTAATGCCTGGCCAGGTCAGGACTGCCAGGCCCACCATTGACAGATCGGTACCGGCCCATGCTGGGGCTCTCTGACAGCTTCTCGTTGACACTGTCGTACCTCTGTCCATTTGGCTTAGAAGCTTCCACGGTGACAATGCTGCTGTAGAGAGGCTGCTTGGATTTTTTGTTTTTCTTGTCCTTTTTAGGCTTTTTAGATTTGTCGTGCTGTTGGGGTGTAAAAAAGTCTTCGTGATCTTTTTTGCCAGCCTCATAGCCATTCTTATTCTTGGACCGGCAGTATCTTGCCATCACTACAATTAAGATGATGAGAATCACGGTCATAATCCCAGCCACCACCCCAATGACAATACTGAGTCTCTGCTTGCTAATTTCATAGCTTGGGTCACCGGCTATGTCCTGGGTGAGAGGGGTGTGCAAACTCCTGGCTATCTGGGAGTCGATCACAGTTGCGTTGGAGACACTTTCATTGACAAACACATGCACCAGCGCTGTGGTGGATTGGGAAGGCTGCCCACTGTCATTCACTTGCACCACCAGCCTGTGCAAGCCATAATGCTTTTGGGTGAGCTTCCCCACTAAGGAAACCACACCACTGGTGGAATCAATCTCAAAGAGCTTGAAGGGATTCCCTCCCACAATGCTGTAGTTCAGGTCTGCATTGATGCCATCATCACTGTCTGTGGCCAACACCGTGGCTACCACTGTCCTGACATTACTCGAAGGCGGCAGCAAAGTGTAGGACAGGTTTCTGGGCAGGGTCACCGTGGGGGCATTGTCATTCTCATCCATAACAAAGAGAGAGACGGTGGCCGTGGCTGATCTGGGAGGATCGCCTCCGTCCACAGCCTTGACTCGGAATGTGTAGGTGGTCTGATGCTCCCGGTCGAAAGACACGGTGGAGTAGATGGTCCCCGTGTCGTTCTCAATGGAAAAAATGTTGCTGTTCTCCTCTATGTAGAGGCTCATCTCTGCGTTGCGCCCCTTGTCGGCATCCATCACCGTGACCATCCCCACGGGGCTGTTGGGCTGCAAGTTCTCCTTCACGTAGAAGGTAAAGACGTCCTGCATGAACTTGGGGTCGTTGTCGTTCTTGTCGGCCACCTGCACGATCACCGTGGTGCTGCCCTGCAGCACCGGGACGCCCTTGTCTCTGGCGTTCACTTTAAACTCGTACCTGTCCGTCTGCTCGCGGTCCAGCACCGTGTTGACCAGGATGTCCCCGGAGTCGGGGTCGATGGCGAACACCCCCATCACGGAGGAGTCCAGCGAGTACGCGATCTCCGCGTTCTTCCCGCTGTCAGCGTCGGTGGCCAGCACGGTGGCCACCCTCGCCCCGGGGATGTTGTTCTCCGGGAAGTAGACCTCCACCACCGACTGGTCGAACACGGGCGGGTTGTCGTTGGTGTCTCCCACCTTGACCACCAGCGAGTTGTTGCTGGAGAGGCTGGGGCTGCCCGAGTCCACCGCCACGATGACCACGTTGAACTCCCGGGTGGCCTCGTAGTCCAGGGGGGCCGAGGTGTGCAGGAAGTACTTCTTCTTGTTCTGGTCGCCCTCCGTGTCGCTGGCCGGCTTGAGCTGGAAGGGCACGTCCCCCACCACCGTGCAGGTGACCACCCCGTTCTCCCCTTGGTCCCGGTCGGACACCTGCACCAGGGCGATGGGGGTGTCCACCAGCACGTCCTCGGCCACGTTGGCCACCCCGTCCTTGAGCGGGATGCGCCCGATCTTCCGGATCTCAATGGACGGCACGTTGTCGTTCTCGTCCTTGATGAGGAGGACCACGGTGGCCTTGTCCGTCTTGGGGGGCTGCCCGCGGTCGCGGGCCATGACGGTGAAGCGCAGCTGGTTCACTTCCTCGCGGTCGATGCGGTGCAGGACGCTGAGCCAGCCCGACGTCTCGTCCAGGCG